CTCATTCATCTCCTTCCATAAACGCATAACTGCCACAAAGACAGGAAGTAAAATTATTTTTCTAACGCACAGTGAAAATACAGTATTTATAACTTTCTATAGCTCCATCCTTTTGCCCACAGGAACAGGATTTCACCTCCTTCGCAAAACAACAACATAGTTTAAAGTAAACAATGGATTCTATAAATTACCCACAAGTGAGCTAAAAGAATAGCATGTTTGACCAAACCAGTTTTCACATAAAACTGATACTTATACAGTTATGCTTGAAGATCTCTGTAAAAATGCTGAAGCTTTATGATGAGCAACAGAAAGACATACTTTCAAGAAAGTATGGAAGCAGGAAATTATTTTACAGAACAAGAAGAAAAAGGCTATTAGGATAAAAATATAAAAGCAAAGTGACCTAAACAGTTGTAAGCAATGTAAAAATGAGACACTCCATTCAGAGAGAGCAAGGACATTTCCTGAAGTGTTACATTAGTCAGAATACAGTAGGCCATTTGAGAGAAGTCTGAATGAACAGAAAGCTGGAATTTTAACAAGAAAATTCACATGTTGACCAGCTCTTCATATTCCTAGGGACTGTAAACCAGATGTAAGTTTCAAATTTTCTATTTTTTTTTCCCCAGCAAGTCCAGTTAATTGCTTAATTAGGAATTATAACAGCTGTACGGTAAGATAGAAAACTACTAATTAAAAATATAAGACAGACAGGACCTCTAATGTAATTTCTGTGCTGGTCTTTCCTATCTAATAACACTCTTAAAGGAACATTCTTATTAGATGCCTACATAAGACTAAAGTTCACTGAAAATATTCTTCCTTCCATCTCACTCATCCCATGAAACATAATGCAAATATCTTGCCTTCTACAAAAAAAACAAACCAAAACCACCAAAAACCAAACAGCAGAGGAAATGCCCTCCCTTTATCTCCAAAGTTTTGTATGGAAACAAAAGGTACACATATGTTACCTGTTTATTTATTCATCTTCTTTTTCTTGGCTACAAATATGCATGTTTTATAGGCTTTAAGTAGCAGGAGCTGCACTAGACCTGCATTGGAGGAGGTCATGAACTGCCATATGCCAGTCAAATTTTGCTACAGCCTTTCCCAAATGAGATAAAAATGGTGGGAAAACCTTCTGTCTACCAAAGAAGCACACAACATTCCTGCTCAGACATATTTAAGGCAGACAGAGGCAGGTGCAGGGGCTGGAAACACACTTGGTGGGGATGGGGCACTCCAACCCAAAAGGCAGCACGGACATGCCCAAGGGGCTGTGACAGTGGGCAAACCACAGCAGGGCAGCGACACCCCTGAGGGGATGTTGCTTACAGATGATCCACAAAGGAACCACTGACATGGATTAGCAGACGAACTACCACATAAAACACCTTAACCTCCCAGTTGCCCATCACCATACCAAAGATGTTTGCGTGGACTGAGTACAACTCAGGGCAAAACAACCTCAATTGGACTGGGGGAACAGGGGCTCAGATGTTTATGTAAGTGTGTGTCTAATTGCTTGTCATTTTCTTCTTCTCAACACTCAGAACAGTGATCAGAGAATCACATCAGTTCACAATAAATTATCTCAAGTAAATTTCCCCAAATCTAGATTGTTTTACTATTACTACCTTAAATTTTAATCCAATGACATAGTTCTACCAGTGGCTGAGTTTCCAAAGGTGTTACAGCTGTTGTACCCAGTAAATGAGCAGGGCCAGGAGAAAGAAAGGTTGGAATAATCTCTAGTAATTCCCTGCTGATGGTGAAACAGGGAGACTTTGGATGTTACTTACTTTGACAACAGCCACCAGGCCATGCAATACATGCACTCTTTTGAGTAAGCACAAGCTTTATTTGGAATAAGCCAGAGCACATGATGCTTTTTGCCTAGGTAACAGAAGCAAAAGGAAACTGAAGGTACTACAAGCATATGTTTTTGTCATGGTTTAAGCCCAGACGGCAACACAGAACCACACAGCCACTTGCTCACTCCTTCCCTTCCTCCCCCCAGTCCCAGAGGGATGGGTAGGAGAATTGGAAGAATGTGACTTCCACGGATGGAGATAAGAACAGCCCCAGTAACTAAGGTATAACACAAACCACTACTGCTACCACCAATAATAATAACGATAAGGAAAATAACAAGGGAAGAGAATACAACTGCTCACCACCTGCCAACCGATACCCAGCCCAACTTGAGTAGCAATCTAACCCTTCCAGGTAACTGCCCCCAGTTTATATACCGGACATAACGTGCTGTGGTATGGAATACCTCTGGCTAGTTTGGGTCAGGTGTCCTGTCTCTGCTTCCTCTCGACTTCCCCTCCTCCCTGGCAGAGCATGAGACTCAGAAAGTCCTTGGTCAGAGTAAACATTACTTAGCAACAACTACAAACATCAGTGTTATCAGCACTGTTCCCAGGCTGAAAGTCAAAACCCAGTAGCACCAGCTAAAAAGAAAAATAACTGCTACTGGTGAACCCAGGACAGTTTTCAAAAGGACATGAGAAAGAAATGTGAAAAATTGCAGTGGGATTCAAAAAGATATGAGACCAAATGTATAAGGATATAAGAGGTGCTGCTTAGAATGCCCTAGAGATTGGAGGATACTACTAAAAGATGTCAAAGAAAGAGGAAGGTAACAAAACCCTGCAATTTAAAGAGACAGGATGTCGGTGACGTACAACACAAAAAAAAGTCAAAACAAACAAAACCAGAAACAAACATGAAAACCCCCAACAGAACTCAAAAGAAAACATACTTCATTATTCTCACTAAATAAAGTATTGCACTATTCTAACAATAGAGAATTAACATGGAAAATGAGAGATTATCTTCTCAACATGAAGAATTACTCTTTAATTTCATGGTGCTCTAGCCACCAAGGATGGGCAAAGAATGGGGTAGCACTCACTCTCCTGCAGCTGCCACTGTAGGCAGTCAGGAATCTAGGGCACCTGGGACCAAGTATATCACCATGAGAAGCTTGCCTTCACATCCTTGTTCCCAAGAGCACTCAGTTTCTCTTCAAGACCCACTCCTACACTCTTTCAGATTTCACTGTAAAATGACAGAAAGTTATCTTTGATGCCAATTATGGCAGCTTCCTTAATCATTCACTAATTATTTTTTTATAACAATTTTAATACTACTTATCATTCTGCCCTTACCATTGGCAAGATGGTCCCTATAAAACTGTGCTACATTTGTCACTTCTATTGGAGAGGAAAAAAAAAAAAAAGGAAGTATTTTACCAATAGAATATTTTAACAAACTAATTAGTATGAACTTGAAAGCTATTAACTTATTGAAAAAGCTATTAACATGCTTTCATTACGCTATCTGGCAAATTAAATATCTATGAGACTCTAGAATCAGGTCTTCATTCTGAGCAGAAATGTCTCTGCTAACGACTTTTTTTTTTTTTAATTGGAAAAAATAAGGTAACTTTACAAATGTGTACGTTTCCCTTGCACCTACTTATAAGTGGTGTTTACTGTACAGCTAATGTTTAAAGACATCACACTGTGCTGAATTCTAAACCATAGCATTTCAACTCTGCAAGTGACAAATCCTTACTTGTTGTCTGGCATGTTCTTATGCTTGTCCCAGACTGCACTTTTTATTTTTGTTATACCAAAGAAAGAAGTACACATATAGATGTCAAGAGAAATGCTGCACACACTTCAAAAGTGAAGTACACAGGAAATGCTTTCTCCTTATTAAAAGTGAGGAAATGTTTTGCTTAAAAGCATAAACCTCATCACAGTTTAACAGAAAGTTCATCCCATATGCCTTATTTCAAACCTATCTCAACACTGCTTTCATGAACCCTGCAGAAATTCTCGACCACTGGCCAAGTTGTGTATCTCTGCAAACAGTATTTTTCATATGCTCAGCAGAAAGTTCATCTGAAAAGCAAAAGTCTCCTTAAAAAATCATCTCTACTGAGTATTCTCCAAGCTGGAGATGAAGGAGCTAATCCAGCCCTTTGTAATTGCCTCTGTTCCAGGCTGTTACAAAGCCAAAGACACAAACAGACAGCAAGGGAACATTTCCTTCTGTGTCTTTTGTTCCTTCACTAATTGAGAACTGAGACTTCACAGAAGAGAAACATAAAAGAGGGAAGAAAAACTAAAGACAATTAAGTAGATTAGACAGACAACAGCTACTGAAACAATGATACAAAGGGTCACAAAAAAAAAACCCAAACCAATCAACAAACAAGCAAACAAAAAAAAAAAAAGACCAAAAACAAACAAACAAAAAAAAAGAAACAAAAAAAAACAAACAAACCAAAAACAAAACAAAAAAAAACTAACCAAACACCAAACCCAACAAACAGCAGGATTGAAAGTAAAATGAGACCATTTTTTAGACCTGTATTTGCTCACAAATGGCAAAGAGCAAAGTCAGGACAGAAAGTAAGGTGAAGATATGGGTTAAGCAACATGAGGAAAGATGCCCAGGAAAGAAAAGTTGTATTAAACAAAATGGACACACCAGATGTGGTCAGCTGAGAGGCGGTAGATGCAATTCTGTACCAATACATCCTGCTTAGAAACTAGAACTCAGTCTGAGTTTACAATCTCAAGTTTTCAGTGTTCAGTGAAGCACATGCTCTAACAAACTCTAGAATTTGGCCCCCCTGTTGATGATGATCATTAGTACTCTCTCAAATTAAGTAGCAGATTGTTCATATCATCACAATGAACTATGTGAACATCAATATAATTCCATACCATGAAGGTGGGGTTTTTTTTAGTTGACTTTACTTAAAACCTTAACAGTTTATATTGATAAAACTACAATTTTTCTGAGTGATAATTTTCTAACTGGATAATATTATTTCTCAAATTACTTTTATGCCTTCCTTCATGTCATAAATCACTGGTGGAGAAGCACTGGTATTACACCTAAAACTGACAAGAGTTGAGGTGACACTGCCAATAACAAGATAAATATTTTTTTAAAGATCTTTTTCGTGCTTTGCAGGAAATATCACCACCACTGTTGCAAGCCAATAAATATTCCTGCTGTTGGATAAAACATATACTGAATTTATCCACCAAAAGAAAAATAAAATCTTACTGAGTAAACCTGAGATACCAAGATCTCTCTGATCATACATAATGAAGTGAAAAGAATAATCTATTTAATTCCCTTAGGAAATACAAAGCCATTTAAGAAACATATCCTTCACAATAAGCCAATTAAAAAAAAAATGTTAAAGTAATCATTGTATTTGGCATGTTTTTCCAGTCTAGATAATCAAAGAGAGACCTGTTTTGCTAAATGTGGTCCAACTTTTTTATTCAATATTTTTATATTATTTTTCATTGGGAAGATCATGAAAGAACATACCTTCTGTCTCAGTCGCATGCAACATGAAACTGAAGCTTACAGAGAAGTTTAGATTTTAATGTTTATTTTTGAACTAACATCAAATATTATGTAGACATACTATAGTGTCCCAGCTCTTGTGAAAACCTACACAAAGTAGGGGGTCCTGTTCTTTGAGAATTAGTGTAGTTAGTGTAAATAGTGCTGCAAAGACCTAAAGGGACAAAGGATGCCAAGAATTTGAAGTAGAAATCATAAAATGAGAAGGATACTTACCAAATGATCATCTTCCCTAAAGAAAATGAGAGATACCCAAATAAGAACTGTGTACCTTCCTTATCTAGCTATGGTTCTGAAGAAGAATCTTAGGTCTCAGAACAGAAAAATACTGACTGCAAAGCATAGAAAGCAAAGCTGTTGCATTAATAGGTACCATTTTAAACAGTTACTTTTCAGATTAAAACTGTATTTTGGAGTGATACGAAGAACTGCAGAGCTGAAAAGAGGGATTATAAAACAAAAAGGGTACTCTTCAGTTTAAGAAATATTTCTATTGCTCTCCAAGATTTATTTCATCCACCATACAAGATGTGTCAAGAGTTATGCTGATCCTTCACTGGGAGCTAAGCATTCCAATAGTTTTTACATTACCATGCACCACAATAGCAGTCCTTGACACTGCTTATAAGTGTCATACAGAGCCTTCATTAATTGTCGTTATCTTTAAGATATAAAAGAAATCCTCTCTTTTTTAATGTTATTACACAAAAAGTGCACGTGTTACCTATATACAGCAAGTGCAAAAATGTTTTGCACTATAATAATTTAGAATATATGGGATAGAAATTGTACTATTGTTAAACTGTCAGTCAAAACTCTTGTTATACAAGGATAGAACATCACATCCATCTACAACAGCCTTTTCTGTCAGTCAAATGTGTTGTTCTATACAAATCTAGCATCAATTTGATTTCTAAATTGGCAGAGGCTGTAAAACATTATTCTAATGTGATACCAATGTGATCTAAATTGATGGTGATATAGGAATACAACACAGGTTTCCTCTCAAATCCAGTTCTCCTTGTGCTTTTAGGCATCTGCATAACATAGATGATTCTGCATATATAAGTACATGAACAGTCAAATGAAATTTAGCTTTCACTACATGCCAAAGAAAGAAATATTTGGCAATAATCTCCAGTAATCTGAAATAAGCCATAATTTGAGAATTTTGTACCAGGGTGATGAAATAATTATGTGCCCTACAACCCCCCCAAAATAGTCCTCTTTATCCACCACATACTCTCATTCAGAACCAGATTAGTCCTTTTATCCTAGCTACGAGTAACTGTGGCTTATGAAAATTGAGCTAAAAAGCAGCTGAATTCCTACAGCATTTTTCTGTGATATTAGCCAAAAAGTGAAGTGAATGGGACAAAGTATTCACTCATAAAAGAATGCAGTTGGACTCTGTTTCTTGTCCCACTGCAAAGCTGAATAAAAATAACATGGACAGTTGAAATTTAAATTTGATTATTGAAAGAAACCCCACAAACAAACAAAAGACCAACCCAGAACAATAACCAAAACAGTAAGTCAAGACAAGCTCTGGCCCTTTTTAGCACATTCCCATACACACACTGACATCTGCAATTTTTGCATTAACACATTAATTTTTTGTACCTGGGTTCAATGCATGTTAGAGAAAGAACATCAAATCAATCTCTTGGCAGACCACTAATAAATTTAACCACCCATTTTCTTCCATTCTTGGAAGTGTGAAAGCACAGTTAATAAAAGTACAGGTTACCAAAAGCAATGTTAGGCTTCCAATGTAATATTTTTTTTCTTTAGTCATTTCATATAGGAATCATAAATCTAGAGTGATTTATTAGCAGACTTACAATTATTTGGGCATATGCAATGCAGCAGAATTTTTCATGGGTATAATCAGTGATTTTTAATATACTTGGCATACACAACTTTACAGAATACTACCTAATGATTGACAAGATCCTAAAATCCTCAAGAGCTCTGGGGGCAAGTTCAAACAAATTGCTATTGAGATGATATCACCAATCTCTTTTCCACTTGGGGCAAGTTCAAACGAATTGCTATTGAGATGGTATCATCAGTCTGTTTTCCACTTGAAGTGTTTCAGTAACACCTACAGTCAAAGAAAAGGGGGGCAATGACTAAATCATACCAGTTTTCAGAAGACTAAAGCTTGTAACTAAAGCTTGTAACTGTTAATGAAGATATGTGACTATGAAACAGAGAGGCTAAAATGCAAGCTCATGCTTTATCTTACCAATCCAGCTACCTTTATACACATCTGAAGTAAACAGCTGGCAAACCTCAGGATATGAGAGTTAGAAGTAGATTATGTACAGAATTACCAACCAGTAATTTTCAAAATCTGGCTATAACTTGAAAAAGATCCCAATACCTTGTTTTTGTTCTCAGCTTCAACACTTTAACTTCACAGTAAGCCACCTAATTTTAATAAGACTCAGATAAAATGTAACTATTATTTCTGACTCCATTAAAACTTAACTATTATTTCTCAAAATCTCTTATAAGGACTATTTCACTATGTTAAAAGTATGGATACTTGATATAAAAGGAATTTGTAAGGCAATCAAGAGTTTACAGATAAAAATTAAACAGGCAATTAATGCAATTCCAACATTTACTGCAATATTTACTTATGCAGTATGTCAGAGACTAAAAATTAGGCATCTTACATACCTCTACCTTTTCCACTCTGAGAAAACTGTAATTTACTCAGCACAGTGTGTTGTATGTATTCAACTGTCCAGGCTTATAACATTCCATGCATCCAAACATTTCATGCTAATTGTTTCTGTTTCTGTGCTTTTTAATTTAAGATAGGGATAAAAACTACTCAATCTCAAGTACCATTTCAAATATTTGAATTGATACTTGAAAGCTGGTCTACAATAAAAAGTGTCAGCAAAGTAACTACACAAATTATAGATCATGTGGTGACCGAGGTTGGAACAGAACTCTGGAGATTGTCTCATCCAACCCCTGATTCAAAGCAGATTGTTAAAGAGTTGTATCCAGTTGAGTTTTAACTATTTCCATGGACAGAGACTCTACAACCAATCTGGATAACCTGCTACAGTATTCAATCACCCTTAAAATATGGCAGATAGAATAAATTACTCTGTCAACTATTATACTGTCAAAAATAATATAAACATAGTTATGCTGGAAAAAAGAAAATCTAAATTCTTCTGAAGCAAAACTGAATTGCAGAACTGAATTTATATGACAATTTATATAATATGACTTAATTTGACAAAATAAAAATAAATAAAAAAATAAAAAAAAATGGGAAGGTTACCACATAACATGGTAAAACCTTCTTTTCCTCCAGAATGTAAGTATTAAGATCCATTCTGTTTCTAAGTTTATTTTTTCAAAGAAGACTATACCGTGGTTGATTTTCAAACGTCATGGAATACAGTACACTAATTTTCACAGTGACAATCAAATTTAATAATTATTTTGATTGATAAAAATGTATAATGTCTATAAAGTGTAAACCGCCTAGTGTACAATTCTTCCACAAAAAAAAAATACCAGAATTTTCAGTACCCGTGCACTGCTTTATGCACCATAAACTATGGAATAGAATCAGTTCTTTCAACAGATGTGCATCTCCACCAGAGCTTCTGCTGGCTGTACCCGGTAGGTACTATGATTTTTTTCTCTTCTTGTGCTGTCATGATTATGCCAGCATACAGCTGGATGTAACAATCTTAACATTTCAAAGTGGAGAACAGATATTAATTTATGTCTACAACACTAAGAAACAAGCAGATATTTTACACACCAAGAAATCAAAGAAAGGTGAAGTGCTTTGTCTAAAGGCACTTGGAAGAAATGAGTAACAAAGCCATAATTAAAATTCAACATCAAGCTTCATGTTAATCCTCTAGACCTAACTGCCTTTTTCAAAGTGCATGATTTGGAACATCAAAAATAAGAACCAATTCAGTGTTTTTTCTCAATACATGCTTTAATGATAAAATAAAATACCACTTTCAGCTTCTTCTTCTGTATTGGCATGGACAATCATCTTTCTCAGGAATCAAATTCATGAAATTGTTCTGGAATTAAAAAAGGACAAACTAAAAAGGAAGATAACTGACAGTTAAAATTTAAATTCCACACTTGATTTGGCCTCTGCCTCTGTGTACTGAGGGACTCACAGGAAAACACATATACGTGCCAGGTATGTTAGCATGCCAATTTATCCTAGACCAATTTAATTAGTTTGCTTTCAATGCAAAGGTGCAGCACCTCAGCAATTATGAAATCGTTAATACAACAGAGCATAACAGCACCTTTAGAGATCTTGTCTAACCTCTAGGCACACATATAACCCCCATTAAGGCTAATGGGAGTCACATGTGTGCATCCAAGGGAGAAGAGACCCATTAAAACTGATACAACATATCCATTAATCTTCAGGTCACTCTTAAGGTCAAACATTATAAAAATGTTTATGAACAGTACTTGCTAGGTATGCACAGTGGCTACTTCGGGTTTAGGATAGACCTGTGAGCAGTTAAGGCCATGGAAAATGTCTGCTTTAAAAGCATCACCACATTTCAAGTAGTGGTATGGAAATTTGAGAGTGCTTTTCTGTAGTCAGAGAGGACATTTTTCTATCATCTCCTGAAAGAATTAGAAGGATAGAGATGATCAGAAAGGTTAGACACAAATGAAAACCTTGGACAAAGGTATACTCTAGCTTTTTTCTTCCATCCCCCACTCTTCATATTACAGTCCCTTAGCTGCAGTTTTCAGCTTCAAGAATATTAACTGCAGTGACTAAATTCCCCATATGTGCAGTCTGCTACAAAGACACTACTGTCCTGGGTTCAGCAGTAGCAGTCATGTTTTTTTTTCCTTTGTGGTAGCTGGTGCAGTGCTGTGTTTTGACTTCCAGCCTGAGAACAGTGTTGGTGAAGTCGATGTTTTCAGTTGTTGCTAAGTGATGTTTACCCTGACCAAGGACTTTGTGAGGCTCATGCTCTGCCAGGGAGGAGGGGAAGCCGGGAGGAAGCAGAGACGGGGCGCCTGACCCAGGCTAGCCAGGGAGGTATTCCATACCACAGCACGTCATGGCCGGGGTGGGGGGTGACTGGGAGTTACCCGGAAGGACACGGGCTTCCGGGTGGAACTCGTTTTCTTGGCCGGTGGTATCGTATTCTCTTCCCTTGTTATTTTCCCTTACCATTGTTGTAGTTGATAGTAGCGGTGGTGATTTGTGTACACTGGTTGCTGGACTGTTCTTGTCTCAACCCGTAGGAGTTGCACTTTTTCGATCCTCCTCCCCGTTCCTCCGGGAGTGGGGGGGGGGGGGACATGGACCTCGATTGTTGTCAGCTCGGCACCACTCACTGGGAGTGAGTGAACAAGTTACCTGACTGGGTTTAAACCACGACAACTACAAATAAGATTTTGATTATTGAATCACCAGCGAACCACAACAATCCAAGCACTGCTTCCAGGGAGGAAGGGGCATTAAATTTTTCCAAAGAGAAAGGTAGCCCTGCTTTGCAAGTCATTTCATTCTGCATATCTAAAAACTCCTTTTTTTCACCACTGTAGTATAGTTTAAGCAAGCACGCTCTTTTCCATCTTAGAAAAAGTTGAGGCTATCCAGTCTGTAAAAGTGATCTGATCAGCAATGAATTTGTCATCTTTGTTCACACTGAGTCCTGAAGGACAAAGAGATTTCTCAGCGGCATGGGGTCCAGATGATCTCCTCATAAACACAGCAAAAGGAACAGCAAGAGGAAATGTGTCAGATGAGTACACAAGCAAGGACAAACTTCAGATACTAACTACCCCTATTTGTTTACTGTTTCTTTCAGGTACTGGAATGAATGAGGAAAGGCGGCTTCATCATGAGTTACTCACAAACTATTCTGAAACTCATGTTCAGAAATCCTGTCAAAACTTATTCTGCATGTGAGACTTGTTCAGCACTCCCCAGTTACACTTCCTGTTACAGGGTTTGTAAGTATTCCAAGCATTGACAACTTAGCATTGCAAGCTTTTGTTCAGAGCCCTGTGACAGATGGTCAGCTGCATCTGGAGCATCAGGCCAAAACACAGGCAAGAGGCTGGGGAGCAAACTGTAACCTAGGAAGTGTGGCTCCAGAGACAGTCACAACAGTATCAACCTCAGAAAAGAAGCAACACATTGCTTCAGTCTTCAGTTACTGGCCCTCTATTGCCTTTCTCTCTATGCTCATGTCACACAGGTTCTCACTTCCCAAGGTTTTTAAATGCTGATATAGCTCTTCACAGTGCCCTGCACAAGGAAGTGTTTTTGTTTCTAATTCAAACATGAAATGATAATAAATAACAGAAAATGAATTCCATGATTCAATTAAATTGCACCTCAGCAGAAATAAATTATCATGTGGTTTTGCTTCAAAGCAAAAATCACTGCAAATACCACAGAGGTACATGGTAGGCTATCTAAACATTTGAGTGTGACAGTCTTTCCTTGATTAGTGGTCATAACCTTTCCACTACAATGTCTTTCTGTGAATCAGAAGAGCCATCCTAGCTCAAAAGGTAAACTTGTTTTGCTTACAATGAAGTTTCCATATAAAAGATGTAATCCCCATTTTGTGGAATCAGCTATATGAATTAGACTTATCCACTTCAAACAGCTCTAAAAGAGGAATTACTTACTCATTGTTAACAGTTAGGCACTGTTTTGAAGATGCTTTGCCATTGTGGAAAATTACATGTAAATATTCAACAAAACTGTTCTTTCAAGATCATAACATTCACAAAGGGCTCCATCCTGTTTTGTGACACCACAAGTAGTCCAGAGTGGTAGCTAATTTCCTGGGTCTGAGTCACAAAAAAAGTAGCATAAAATCCACCAATACATGCCCATGGAATCCCCCCACTCCACCAGCCTCCTTAGCATAATCTCAGCAAGGTATACTTAGAATTAGGACCCTTAATGTCATATGTAAACCTGTATTCACGAACAACGAGTAAACATAGTTACTGTTTGGAAATAAATCACTAGCTGAGCATCTTTTATATTTAATTAACAATGTAGATGCCTCTCAATCTGTTCATACAGTAAAATCTTAGAAAGTTACCTTTATTTGCTTCCTAGAACTATAATAACCAGCTTTCCAATGCAACCTTCCTCAACTGCGTAATACATTCAAATAATACCTCCTGAGACACCTAAACACTCCCAGACCCGTGAGGGAGAACTTGGCTGTCACTAACGCCAGGCACCAAACGATCAACCACGCCTCAAACAGCTCTGAAGCTGCTGGAGAAATACGGGCCTGCAGTACTTACAGTCTATTCAGTTTCTCCTCTCACAGCCCTACGAATCCTGTCAGGAAACGCTACTGAAACCCCTCACTGCCCTAGGCTATCCTCAACCCCAGGCTGCTCGGCCTCGCTGCCCCGTACCACCCTCGGTGACCGCCCCATCCCGAGTCGGAAGTCCCTCCACCGCCGTACGGCCGGCCGGCCGGCCGAGCAGAGCAGAGCAGAGCAGAGCAGAGCAGAAGCCGCTGCTAGCTCTTGCCGAGCTGAAGCACTCGCACTAGCGAAACTGCAGCACTAGCGAAACTGCAGCTCCACTTCCACCGGGACTCCGAACCGCTCTCAGAGACCGAAAACCACCCAGAAACCACCCACACCCCACCAAACCCCTCGGCCTCAGCCCGTTCGCCATACTCAGCCCCGAGTCAACGCCCCCTCCTGTCTCTCCCATTGGCTCCTCACCAGCGCCGCTGACTGGCTTTACTGCCCGTCAATCAAAGAGCCCCAGGGTTCACCCGGGCACGGACACGGTGCGGGGAGTTCTTCTGGCGCGTCATCGCTGGCTCCCAGAGTACTTCCTGCAGAGCCGCTCTAGGCGGTTACCTGTGCTAACAGCTGTTTATGCTGCAGCCGCTCTAGGGAGCAGGAGGTAGCTCTATGACCTGGCAGGGTCTGCTGGCGGGATAGTGCCAGTAGGCTGGCGATCGCAGCCGAGGGGCTGCTGGGTGGGTTCTCGAGGCTGCCCGAAGAGGCGCCCTCCGTGCAGGCCTTCACTAGGAGGCTCGAAGCGGGAACTCGTACCCGTTACCTCTGCAGAGGCCTGGCGGCCTGGGCCCGGTGGCGGCGCAGGTCAGTCGGTGCACGGGGCGGGAGGAGGTGCGGTTGCTGCTGGCCTGCCCGGCCAGACAGCTGCCGCTGTGCTGCTGGAACTGCGGCCCTCGGCGGAGTCCGGCCAGGCAGCTCCCGCGGACTCGAGTCGGTCTGCTGTGGCGCGGCGGCGTGCCTGCAGGGCCGGCGGGCTGATCTTCCTGAGTCGGCTCTGGGCGCTGGTACTGGCCCTGCTCACAAACAGTTTTGTTGCGCCCCACGCCTTCCCTGAGCGTCTCGGTTCCTTAAGTCCCTCTGAAGTCCCGCTGAGTGCTTCACCACACCAAGAGACTGCAGGACTGCAGCTAGGGCCAGGGGTAAGGTAAGGGAGGATGTCAGCTACACCAGCCAGGTGAAGTGCTTCGCAGACAGGATAGGGCATAATGTTCTAGTAAGTTTTAATCTGAACTGTTACTCTGATGGCAGTTGGGGGAGTGAGCCGTTTACGGGCTTCCAAAGGTTTTTCCTATGACTGGCTGCTGTAGCTGACAGTTTCCTATAGGTACGGCCTGATACAGGTGACAGCACCTCCTGTCTGTTTTCGTTAATCCACTTCTGTGTAGCTTATGAGTGTATCAAACCATTTGCTACAAAATTAATCTAGTTCTAGTCTGAATGGCCAACATGTTTTGGTAGAGGGGTGAATTCTGCTTATGATATAGTCCATAATGAAAACCACAGCACTGTGTATTACTATTGATCCCTACATGTATGCATGTATATCTTGTATCATCTTTCATGTATCGGTAAAAGATAAGTATTTGCCCATGTCATATATGAAGTATAGCCAGATTGTAGTAAAATCTGATGTCAATATATTTAGCCATTTGTTTGATTTTACTGGAAGTTAGCAGTTTCTTGTGTAATTTATTTTAAGCTATCATGAATATTCAGTTCAGCAACAGTTTTCACTTTAAGACTGACACTATTGTTACTCTTTATGAAGATCTATTTTATCGGTGCTTTCTTCTACAAAACTTCTTTTGCTTCTGTTTCAACTCATCAGCAGTTTGCTTTTCACTTCCTGGATGTCCATCCTCCTTCCAATGTTTTGCTATCCTATACACAGCAGTAATGTTTTAAAGTAATTTTTCATCTTTTGGATAAATCAGATATTACTTTTATTACTAAAAATTGTCAGAAGTTGGCCTGTGCAAACATTCTTCAGAAAGCATTATTATTTTTATTTTTAAAAGTGTTAATATTTTAATAGCTTATCGCTTGCAATATATTACCATGATGCTTTTTTTTTTTTTTCATATTGTTAAGTAGCTGATAGAGTCAGTGAACTGGAAAGTGGAACACATTTAGTACTATTGTCTATGAAGGCTTTGCAGTCATCTTAAGCTTACATCCTCTTTCTTGCCTACCAACCTAGATTGTATTGTGGGAGGTTGAAGGACATTGGCTGTTTGGGCATTTTTATAATTGATAATAAATGAAATAATAAATGACAGTGTTTATATATTAACGCCCAACCCCCAATGTTATATGAATATATATTTGCAGATTTTGAAGTAAGAACTGAGTGTGTTTATTGAATGCAGAATTGTGGAATGGTTTGGGTCGGAAGGGAACCTTAAAGCTTATCTAGTTCCAACTCCCCTGCCATAGGCAGGGACACCTTCTACTAGACCGGGTTGCTCAAAGCCCCATCCAGTCTGGCCTTGAAAACTGCCAGGGATGAGCAGCCATAACTTCTCTGTGCAACTTGTTCCAATGCCTCACCACCCTCACAGTAAAGAACTTCTTCCTAATAGCTAATATAAATCTGCCATCTTTCAGTTTAAAGCTTGGGGCGAAGGCAGCTGAAATTACTTTGCTTCAAGTTTTGCCTCTGTAAGTCCTTTTAACTTCTAGGCCTGCCTCTGTTCAAACTTCTGTTTGTTTGTTGAGATCAACCTTTTCACCAATTAAGTCAGTTCCCATGGAAGCTTTAGTGAAACTTTTCATGTTGGTATAACTGAGTAAATAATTAAAATTGGGCATTTCTAATACTGATGAACTTATGTGTATTCGAGTCAGGTGATGCTTAAGTCTGTCATAGTTACCCTTGGAACTCTTGGAACAGCAGTACAAGCATATAAAATATCATCCTCTGAATTTGTTTTTAAAAAATTTAGTTTATAAGGCAATGGACCTTCAGATCTGTTATGAATCCATCCACTGATTAAAAGGCTGGAGTGGTGTGCTTCATGGTATGGTTCATGTTAGTGGATTGTTAAGGACTAAGCTAGATAAATGAAATGTCTGATTTGTTCAAGGAAGGTGTTTAGATTTGGGAGGGAGGTTTACTTCTGTGTGTTTTCCTATTAGATTCCTTTATTATTCCTCACACCCCAAGACTGTAGGTATAATTTTATTTTTTTTTTAGAGCAGTAGTGACTCACAGGTTTTGATACTGTGATTCATGGCATGTAGGAAGTAAATGTTCTTGTAATGAACTAAATAAAACTCAAAACTTGCAAACACGTATTGATAGTATATAAAGACCTTGTTAGATCCTTCATAGAATAGAATGGGGAAGGTAATTTCTGTACTGTGATAGTTTTGGGCACTCTAACTAATCCGAGGACCTCCATTTATGCTTTGACATCAAATGCTCTGATCCAAGTCAAGAAAGACATTTGATCTCCTCTGTTTAATCTTACATATTCCTTTAAAGTGGCTGTTCTGAAAATTGCCAAAGACTGCTACCCAGAGAATATTTGGGATGGAAGGAAACAAGTTTACAGCTACATACTGTCAATACAAAATATATATTGTAACATAAATGACTCAAGCGGGAAATAATCAAGGGATAAAGAGCAATGTCTAAGTCCAGTATATATACTGTGTATTACGTATACAGTAATGAAGCATATATTTCAAAAGAAAAAAAAAACAACACAGAAAACACATTAAATTAGTTTTAAAAAAGAAAAAGGGGAGAGTATGGAAATATCTTTTCATATGTTTAAAACAATTGGAAAGTAATTTCAAAGCTTTGAGGTTTAGAGAGAGTGTGGGGAAAAGAAGTAGTTTAACAGATTTCTGAAGGAACCCTAGCAGCAAATTAAACAGTAGACAAATCACTCAACAATTTGCTGTTATAAGTACTTATTACTATTAACCTTGTGCTTTATTTCTGTATTGGTTATAATGGCCTACTTTGGGGGGGGGGGGGGGGGAAGGCAAACTAAGCACTGTTGCACTTGCAGTTGCTATGTTTATTCAGTAAGAACAGGAATCAAGAAGATCTAACAAAAAGAGGAAAAAAAAATATGTCCAGCTAATGCTAACTGATAAGATTTAGGCATAAACATAACTATTAAATTAGCTTGTAAGTGTGCTCTAGCAATAATAAGAAAAATAAGATAATATGAAAAAAATTAATAAGCTTTTGAATTGAAAGATGGCACTGTATTTTATAAGAAATGTTCTTCATATCTTGCCAATAAGCTCATTCTGGATAAGCATCAGTCTAACTGAAGAATAAGGTATATTTGTTAGATTATTTTTAACACATGACTTTCTAAAACTTTTTAGATATTTAATGTCTTTTGGGCAGAGGGGGTGTTTTTTTTTAAGACTTTCTAGGTAATATTTTATTAAAAAAGAAGTTCAGCATGTTGGTTACAGTTTAGCTCACATCTCCTTTAAGCTGTATGGTCCCTGGCAGAAACTAACATAATCTATTTCTGATTTAGTCAGTTACTGATATTAGTACCTGCCTTCTCTGAGAGCCTGGCTTAAGTATTAGAAAGCAAGATCATTGCTTTGGACTTCAGGAGATCAGACTCTGGCCTCTGCATGGTTCTGCTTGGAAGAGTTCCACAGGATAAGTCTCTTAGGACATCCTCATAGAGAAGCTGGTGAAGTATGGCCTGGGTGAGCTAACACTGAGGTCAGTATGAAACTAGCCGGGCCCAGGAGTGGTGATCAGTGGTGCAAAGTCTAGTGATAGGCTAGGAGGTAGCAGTGCACTCCAGGGGTCAGGACTGAGTTGAATGCTGCTTAATATCTTCGTTAATGTCACGGTTTAAGCCCAGATGGCAACCCAGAAACCACGCAGCCCTTCTCTTACTTCCCCGCTTCTTTCCCCAGCTCCTGGAGGGATGGGGAGGAGAATCAAAAGAATGTAACTCCCACGGGTTGAGATAAGAACAGTCCAG